AATATATATACACATACATATATATAAATTGAATTTTGGGAAACTTTAATGGTGCTGCCAACTTTGGAAAAAGTCATTCCAATTTACTGTGTTGAATTGGCATTGTACAGAAATGGACAACCATATTGGTCTAGAAATGTTCATTTTTTTTTTCCATGTGTACACAGGTAAGTTTATTACATGTTTAAAATCAGTAGTTCTTGAAATGTTTTCAGTGTAACATAGGATATTGGTGCTTTCTCTTTTTGTTTTTGCGAAGTACTGGGTTTGAACAACTCCAATCCTTTTTCTTAAAAAGCAAAAACAAAAACAGGGCCTCACTAAGTTACTTAGCAGCCCAGGCTCGCTCAAAATTACAATGCTCCTGCCTTACCCTCCCAGAATACTGGAATTACTTACAGGCATTCACCACTCTGCCTGGCTTGTATTTTTATTCAAGTTGATATGAAAAATTGGTCTTCAGCATACAAGAATTTTGTCATACTTTTTCTGCCTTTCTGTGCATTTTGTGAACAGAGAACTAGAATGCTAACCAAATTTTAGAGATTTTTTTTTGGATAGAATTTAAACTTTTTTTTTTTTTTGACACCAGGGATCAAATTCAGGACCTTGCACTTGCGAGACAGGTGGCAGCACCTCTAAACTAAATCTGCCACCCTAAACTTTAGTAGTATCATGATAGTATTAAGATCAAAAGTTGTCCATTCATATAATTTTATTTTTAACATGTATGTATGCCTTGCTTATTTAAGATATTCAGAAACCTTTTTTGTACAACCATGACTTTAATTTTCTGTCCTTATTGTCTTAATAATTTGTACAAGATAATTTTTTGGATTGTGGGAAAAAAATATTAGCAGTTTATTTTGCCTACAAAATAAAAATTAATCTTTTCTAAGATTTAATACATGGATTGACAACAGTATATGTAAATTATCTATATTGCCTTTTTTATTTATTCATTTTTTGTTTTGTTTCATTGAAACAGGGTCCCTTTTTATAGTTGAGGCTGCCCTTGAACTCATAATGATCCTCCTTCTTCAGCCTCTAGAGTGCTGAGATCCCAGGGGTGCACCGCCACACAAACCTCCTTTTTCCTTATCTGATTAATATCTCCTTAAGTATAGCTTTCTGTTGTTGGATTGTTTTACTTTAAGGTTACCAGGGGTGTGAAGAGAAAAGCAGATACAACAACTCCTACAACTTGTATAGTTAAAGCAAGTAATGAATCTTCTGTGCCAGCTATGGAAAAAAAACCAGCCAGAATGCCAGCAATAAAAGAAAATGAGCTGAAAAATATTTTACCGGATTCTCAGCAACACTATAAAGTGGGAAAGAGGATTAAAATAACTGAACAACTAAAGCACTGTAACGAAATCCTTAAAGAAATGCTTTCCAAGAAACATTTTTCATATGCATGGCCTTTTTATAATCCTGTTGATGTTAATGCTTTGGGACTACATAACTACTATGACATTGTCAAAAATCCAATGGATCTTGGAACTATTAAGGTAAATACTGCTTTAATAGGAAGAACTGTTTTTCTCTTTGGGGGGATAATTTTGTTTTGTTTTTTAAGAGATAGGTCCTTGCCCCAAACTTTCAAACCTCTGCTTCAGCCTCTCAAATTCTGAGATTTCAGGCATGTACCATCATGCCCAGCTTACTTCTTTTCTTGATATAAAAATAACTCATCCAGCTAGACGAGGTGGTGCATGTCTATAATCCCAGCATCTCTTGAGGTTGAAACAGGAGGATCACTTGAGCCCAGGAGTTTGATGTCAGCCTGTGCAGCATAGCTAGAGTTTGTCTCAAAAAGGAAAGAATTTTATCATTGCAAAACACAGAAAAAGGTGAACAAAATGTGAATCACCAGAACATATCATCTGAAGCAAATCATTGGAACAATTTAAATTAGACTTTTTCATGCTCATATGAGCACACTCATTCTTCCTTTTTTTTTTTTTTTTTTTTTTTTTTTTTGGTACTGGGAATTGAACTCAGGGTCTCAGGCTTTCCAGGCAAGCGCTGTGCCACTGAGCACACTCATTTTTTTTACCATAATATTTGGATTGTAATATGTAATATAATCTGTACCCTGAATTTTAATTCCTATATAATGGACATTTTTTTTGTTTCACATTCTTCAATATTGCTTTTTTTTTCCCCGCACTGAGAATTGAATGGAGGGCCCTGTACTGCTCTATCACTGAACTGCACGTGCAGCCCATTTTGTGATTCTTATTTTGAGACAATCTCACAAAATTGCCCAAATTTGTGATCTTCCTGCTCCAGCCTCTGAAGTAGCTGGGATTACAGGCATGTACCACCATGTTCATCTTCTTTAAGACTATTTTTAGGGGAGGAGGGAGTGAAGGGAGGGCAGGGGTATGGGGAAAAAATGAGAACCAAGACCTGTCCTGTAAAGGTACAAGATACCAATAATGAATGTAACTGTACTGTATACCTAAAATGTACCAATAAACTCAATGAGGAAAAAAAAGAATATTTTTAAATAATTGCATGATCCTAGATTTTTTTAATCCTTTATTTTTGGTGAGGCATGTATGGCTTTATTCCTGTCCGTTGTTTGGAGGATGTCTTCTCTTGGATTGGAATACTTTCTTTATTGTTAATTTGGAAATTTTTTGTTTGTTTTAGTTTTGGTTTGGTTTTTTATTTTTTGAGATAGAATCTCACTGTAAATTCAGGCTGGCTTTGAATTCACTATGTATCTCAGAGTAGCCTTGAAGTCATGGCTATCCTCCTGCCTCAGCCTCCCACATGCTGGGATTATAGGTGTGTGCCACCATGCCTGACTGGAAGATTTATATTATTGGAAAATTCTATGGACAGTCTGTTATGTCTATTAATTTTAAGGGTAACTATTTAAAAGGATAAGGGCCAGGAATGTCACTCATTGGCATCACAAAGGTCCTGAGTTTGATCCCTGGTACACACACACAAAAATAAGATAAATGATAGCACCTTCAAAATTGTTCAGTACTTTAATCCTCCTCCAAAACAATCACTCATTGTACTTTCTATTATTTGTTTTTGTTTAGTTGTTTGCTTCTTCTTTTAAACACAATTTTATTTCTTTTTAATCAGCAACATAATGACTATTAACATGTCAGAATCTAATTTTACTTTTTTTTTGCAGTACTGGGGATTGAACACATGTTAGGCAAGGGCTCTACAACCCAGCCCTTTAATTTTTTTGAATTTCATTTTGACAGGGTATGTCTAAGCTGCCCAGGCTGCCTCAAACTTTTGATCCTCCTGCCTCAGCCGTGATTAGCTGGTTTTACCAGTGTGTATGCTACTGTGCCTGGCAATATCTATACTTTGCCCTTATTCTCAAATGATTATTTGACTAGATAATTCTAAAATGACAGTTGTTTTATATTCTGACATCTATTGCTGTGATCTGCTATTGGTTTGTTTGTCATCCCTTCATAGGTAACCTGTCTTTCCTTTCTCTCTAGCTGTACATTTGATTTTATTCATCTCAACTGGAACTTAGCAAGACTTAGTCAAAACTTGTGTCTTCAAGTTCTGAAAATATGTTTAACCACTATATCTTCAAAATAGTGCTTTCCTATTTTTCCCTATGTTTTAACTCAGACTCAGAGGTCATGAAGCATTATATGACCTAAATAAATGTGAACCAAATCTTAAATAGGACTTCAGTAAGAATATTCTAGGCAGGAGAGACAACTTACAGAATAACCATGAGATGAAGAAAACTTTCAGAATACTGTATTTGGGCCAAGTTGAAATGCATGGGGAATATGAAAGAAACCTGGGCAAAGATGAGCCTGGAAGGAAATATGGGTCTCAAGAAAGACAGCTTCCATTAAGCATGGGAATTATATGTCCTTATATTTGATTTCTGTAGTGTTTTCCCTAGCAGTAATTTACAGACTGGTTAGGAGGCTATTGCAAGATTCCAAGAACTAGAAGATGGTGACTTTAATTCAGTTCTCTAAAGTCTGTCAAGTGCTAGTGATCCAATTGGTGGAAGATTGTTTCATGTTTCAGTTTTGTATTTCCTTACTTTGCAATGACGTCTGGTGTATCACATTTGTTTATTGGCCTCTTGTATTTATTTGCAAATTGTCCATTAATATACACATTTTTCCCAGTAGTCTATAGGATTGCTAGCTTTTCTTCTTCTATTGGCTGCCTAGTTAGCTACACTGTCTCCTTCTTTGCTATCCATCTTAATGTACAACTGCCTAAAAATGTAATCTACACTCATTAGTCTTCTGTGTTTAATACTTTTCATTCTCAGCAGATTTTAGTATAAATCTTTCATTAAGATGATCAAGATTGGTTTAAGGAGATTTTTTTTTATTGCTTTCTTACTACCAAACTTGCCTACTCGAGACCATCTGACAGCACTTTTCCTGCCTTTCTGATTTTATTACTATCCTTGGAACGCCTTCCTTCTTTATCTCTATTTGTCAAAATTTATTTGATTTTTTTCAGCCTAAAAATGTGAAACACTAGAATTTTTATAGTTGTCAAATACAGTGAATAGCTGTTTTTGTTGTTTTCTACATTCTCCTGTATTTCTGAATCCTTTCAAAATTTAAACACTTGAGGGATGCTTAGTCACTGATTTAAACTGTATTATTTGTGAATGCCATGATTTTTCTTAATTTAGAAGAAAATGGACAGCCAGGAATACAAGGATGCATATGAATTTGCTGCAGATGTTAGATTAATGTTCATGAATTGCTACAAATACAATTCTCCAGATCATGAAGTAGTGGCAATGGCTAGAACACTTCAGGTGAGTTTTCACTTATGCTCTAAATGTATTTTTCCTCTAAACATAGTTGAAAAATTTTAGAACTATAATTTAAGAGATAATAATAGTACAGAATAATTTATAATTATACTTTTTAAAACTCTGTGGGTTGGTCTTGAGTTATTTCATCCTTTAGTAGTAAATCTTTTTTTTTTTTTTTTGGTTTTTTGAGAGGGGGTTTCCTTTTTTTTGAGACTGCC